TTATTTAATTGTTTGCACTAAAGTTCACTACTTGCCATTGTTATTGTCTGACAAAACACTTAAGACATTAACGGGGACGGAAACTTTTTTGAACATACAATCTATAAGTTATTCTTTAAGATCGGAAAAGCTGCTTATGCTTAGATTGAAGAAAGGCCTTTGCAATTCTTCAGCGGCTTCATATAATGGCGTTTTCTTTCCTATCGAAAAATGTTGCCTTCTCAGTGCCCTCTTTGCACAAATGCTAAGCAGAGGGCAATAAAAAGGCAAAATTTTTTGTTGAAAGGAAAGAGTATAGTAAGTTTTCCTCTGTTTGAAGGAAATATTGAAATAATCATCCGGGGAGGATGGGTGGTGTGAGGGTGTGTAAATCGAAGATAGTCGAATCCACGTGGTCACACATAATTCAAAAAAAACTAGACGGTATTGGAGTAGATGTCTATCTAGAAATAAAAAAGTGGCTCAAGCTAATAAATAACTGCAGCAACTTCAAGGCGGAGCTCATAGCGGTGAGGAAAGTAAAACCCGCTAAGTAATGTGACTGACTTAAAAATAGTTCAACTAAAATGGTCCAATATCTAAACTTTACATAAATGTTTTTTTTTTTTTAATTTTATTTTAGCATTACATTTTTGTTTTAGAAATATATATATATGTATATATATTATATTTATTTATTAGTTATCTTTAAGTAAATATATAATATTTACTTGTTTACCAAAAAATCCTTTAATTTTTGTTTATTTTATATAATTCTGTATTTACTTTTTTTTCTTACTCTTCACGTGCTACCCCAACCCATTGTTTTTCATTTACGTCGCCGCTAAGCAGTGAGGTAATAGCCTGAAGTGGCGTTAAGAAAAAAAAAAAGCAAAGGTGTTTTATAAATTCTAAATGCTTACAGTATTACCTGCACATCCATATGTATGTACATTAGGGTAGTCCAAAAATGCATGTGAAAAAATTTAAGTCCGAATTTAGTGCTCTCACCCCTTAGTATTGTTCTACGTATATCGATGAAATATACAAGGGTTAAGATATGATAAAAATACTTAGAGGTCAGTCAAAGTGCTCAAAGTTATCCATGTATTTTATATGGGGGAAAAAAGGTGTTTTTCATTTGTCATTCATTGAACAAGTACAGTAAGATTTTGAATTTTGTTTATAGAAGAACAGATACAAAAACATTACTATGTTGATATTAAAAATGCAGGCTTACACATGTATATGGGGCATTCCATACGAAAATGGACGGGGTTCACACTTCATGTCTTTCATTTGTTTCAAATTTTTAGGGTAGATAGACAAACATAAATAATAAATAAATATGAAATTAGAGCTTGATTAATAAATTTTTAAAAACTTTACAGTACAAAAACAAAAACAAATCGATTTAATAGTTTTCGAAATATCTCCAGAACGTGGTGAGGAAAAAATTTGAAAAAAATCACACATACACTCATCAAAATTCTCTATGAAAATAAATTCTTTTTCTTGAAAAAATTTTCACATACAAATTTTTTGATAATGAAATCGTATAATCCGGACGATTTTGTAAGCTTCAGCTTCTCATAAAGTTATTAAGGCCTTTTAGTTAGCATAAGCCGATAAAGGAATATACAGTCCAGGATTTGACAGCCTAACAGATCTTATCTCCACTGGGATATGTTTACACAAGCTATGCACATACCGACTGAAATACTATTAAAAACGGCATCAACCTTACGAGCAGACTGTGAATCTAGTCTATTGTATTTATGTAGATGAGTGCAGAGTATGTCAAATTAGGTAGCAGGGGTAAACAAGAACGAATGTCTTAAACTACGTAGCGCGCAATACACCTTACATACAAACAAATTCGCACACCGAAAATATGTCATTAGGAAATAGGCTAAATAATACAGGTGCTAGAATTGAGCCCTGTGGTACACCGGAAACTAGTTTCATTGATTGTGGTGGGGTAAGATAACTCGTCATAAGTTTCTGAAAATATTCGTTGAATCCATTTATTTCGTTGAAATTGTATAGAACTCGTGACTTTCAATAATAATAACCAATTGTTTATGTTAAAATTTTTTTAACTAACGTTTTTTTATGGATCCCTAATTATGCATATTTTTAGGGTTGTTTTGGGCGACCTATAAATAAAAGTAAATAAACCATGTTGTATTATTATTGGAATCTCTTGAAGAGAAACAGAGTTTTCCGATCGAAAAAATTTGTTTTAAAAAATTTTTTAAAATTTTTGACGAAAAATAGTTTTTTTTCATATAAAATACATGGACAATATTGAGAGCTTTGAGCGATATCTAAAAATGTTTCGATTACAAAATAAAAAAACAGGGGCATCTATAGGGCAATCTTAGGGGGTGAGAGCAATAAAATTCCGACTTTGCTTTTTTTACCACCCTAATGAACATACCTTAATATGTCTAATGTAATTTTTGCTTTGTCACAATTTCGCACGTACTTAGCATTGCAACAATTACTAAATAAATTACTAAGTATAGCATGTAAATACTAATGCTTGTGAATGAAATGTTGTTCTTGGAAGCAAGTGTCGTTGTTGTAAAAACTCTAAAACTGAAGTGTCTGAGAACTTAAGTGCTGTTACTTGTTTTCAATACTATACAAGTAGCATACGTACTAAGTGTAATGCATGTTTTTCAACCAATTCAAGTATTTGCCAGTTAAGCAAATATTTTGCATGACGCTAGATTAGGTTAAATACCTTGCTATTCAAGAAATCATTCGTGAGCGCAAAAATATGTACATACACATATACATATATTGTTACTTTAATTCACAAAGCCCTAATCAACACTTGTCACCTTTTCGTCCTTCATTTGATAATTGGCATACATTTTTGATCGTTTAAATGTAGGCATGAATTTTTAGTGATTTTAAAACTGGACATAAATTGTTGGCCATTTTCGATTGATGATAAAAAGGTGGACAACATTTTCGATCATAAGTTGCTTATCCCCTAAAACTGGTCACACATTTTTGGTCCCGTAAAAAAAAGCTTAAATTTTTAGCAATTTCAAAACTGTACATAAATTTCAATTCTCGATTCTGGTTTCATGTTTTTGTTTAACTTTGAATTTGATTTTTATCACTACACTAGAAAGATGCAAATATTAGATTAATCTTAGTTACGTAAATAAAATGAAGTGCCTCATGAAAGTGTGCTTTATGTCTTACCGATGTAAGTTATGAATTGATATGTAGATTAATTGAAAAAAAAAACACATCCACCTAATCAACCCAGTCCAGTTTGCAATCGTGGCGTAATTTCCGAATTAAAAAAGGGCTGAATTACGGTATTTGTTGGCGCCCATAAAGGTATTTAAACGTTTTAGTATTTTTTTTTTTATTATTAGTATTAAAAATTGCACTACAATAAAAGCTGATAAAAGGAAAAACATTAAAAAAAAATGCACACCAATTAAAAGAAAATATTTGTATGGGCGATTTTTTTCGACTAAGCGCGTATATATATGTAGCTCAGACGGATTCTACATGTAATTAAGGATTTTTTTTTTAATTTTTTCTGTTTATTTGCAAGTTTGGAGTAAATTTGCATTGTATTCGAATTTGAAAAACGTTGTAAATATTAAAAACGTGATACTAGGTGATTTCTAATACTTCTAATCTAATATTTTGAAAAGAGCTTCAACGATATTTACTAACTAAAATACCTACATATATATGTACGTACTTCCTTATTGCTTCGCTCTTGCTTGTCTTAAGTGCGAAGCATTGAGAGTGTGCTCTACAGGGACCTACAGTGTTGGCCACTTAAATAGCGCAGTCTTTTGATCCTCAGTATTGACAGTTCTCCTTTTGTTTATTTAATATTCATTAATTTCTTTGAGTACACAGTTGTATGGCTCGTTTAATTTCAGTGTACTAAAGTGCAAATTTTAAGGGACTGAAAAGAATTTTTTATTTTTTCGATAGATTTTTACGCAATTTCTTTTAAATAAAAATTAATTTTGCTCATCTTATCTTAATACTTAGAATTATTTACTACTAAATTATACATGTAGAAGTTTGTATGTATGTTTGTCACTCGATCACGGAAAAAGAATAAACGTATTTAAAAGAAAATTTTCACACGGATTGTTTGTGACCAGGATTGTGAAATAGGCTACCGCTTGGCTGATCACGCAGCATCAACACCACCATATGTATTTGTATAATTGATCGCAATTAGCGGCTTTAATCATAAGTTAGCCATAAGTTCGCAGTACGGCATAGCTCAACCAATTACCTCAGAAAACTTAGCCTAGTCGAGTATGTAGATTAAAACAGCATACTCAGAATTTTGAATTGACCCTCAAAATTTTGGCTTAACGGTGAAAACCTCATTTTCGGTAGGCTGGAGCTTACACTTGGCCTTAACTTCATATGTACAAATCAAGCATTCTTTATAATGGACGAAATTATAACTCACGGAGTTACCATCAAAAACAAAACAATGGACGGGTTGCTTTTTAGACCAAGTTGTGTATTACAAAACTTGAAAAATGCTTTAGTGGATTTTAATTCTGTACCGAATCGGTTCGGTTTTGGCATTTCAATTTAAAAAAAAGGTTCGGTTCGAAGCCCGAAAAAAGCGACGGTTCGGATCAAAGCCGGTTTGCAGCCCTAATTTTGGAAGAAAACTAATCGTCACTATAAATTCACCACTAAATACCAACTAAAATTTCAGCATGGACTGAAATTTACTTTAAAAATAATAATAAACTTTGTTTTTGTTTGATATTTATGGCCTTTTAATTGTTGAATAATAGTAACATAACAAAAAATAATACTAAATAAAATAAAATTATACATTAATGCGTACATACATATATATACTAATGAATAATATTACGTAATTAATATAAAGAATAAGAAGTAGTTAATAAATAAAATAAAAAAATATGTCCTATGTGCTCTCAAAATAAGCTTATGTATGTTGTTAAAATTACAACAAAATAATCGCTACTTACAGCTTCCTTTTGATAACGCTTCATTTTCATCCTTGGGCGTTGTTGGTGTATCCACATTCATACTGCCAGTGGTTGGCCGAATTTTTATCACCGTCATTTTATATTATATTATTTGGTTTGGCTTTTTTGTTTAGTTGTAGTACAGGTAAGAGCTTTGATTTTTTTTCTTTTTTGTCGATTCTATAAATATATTTTTTCACACAAAAAAATATTTAACTGCAAAAATTTATTTCGTCGTGTTGCACTTAACGCCGTTTATACTAATGGGAAAAAAATTAATAAAAAACACATATTTAAAAATTATTATTTAATTCTTTGTTTAAACGCATAGCGAGCAAATAGCAATTAAGCAGCAAACACAATTTTTTACGTGCTTATATGTATGTGTGCTTTAAGTTAAATAGTTTATTTCTTTTTCTATTGTTTTATTGAGTCGAGTTTTTTTAACCACTTCGTTTTGCTATTTCGAGCCTGCTCGCCCGCTTATCGTTGCACATGCAGTTGCTTAATGAACGGTTTGCAAAGCGCTAGCGAGCGCCAGTGCCAAGGCCGACTTTCTAATGCGGACGCGTTTTGGCAAAGCGACGACGACGCCGGTCGTTCCGCTAACGGCGGTGGCGACAAGCAACAAGTGGATGCACTCTGCCGCTCAGACTGTTCGACCGACTTGTAAACTTCGACTTTTTGCGCTCTCCAATTGCCATTGTCTACACATGTACATACATACTATGTAGCCAAGTCTGACAGCCTGACTTAAATGTTTGTTCTGCTTTTTTTTTATAAACATTTTTTTTATTTCTTTTCCTTTTATTTCTTTTAACTGATTTGTGACATTTGTTTGCATTGTGTGCAATTAGCAAGCTTTTTAAAAAAAAATCGCATGTTTGTTGTGTTGCGTGTAGCTCACAAATGTCAACAGCCAGCCAGCCAGACAGCCAACAGCAAATGTTCTTCCCTATATGACCATTTTGGATGATTTTCGAGAAAAAGTGAGTGTACACAGCGCGACGATGAGTGCCGTAGTAAATTTTTCCACGAAATTTGAGTTTTTTGTTTAAATGCGAAGCGTGAAAAATAATTTATGTGAAAAACAGAGCACAGAGTGGGAAAAGTACACTGTGGACTTTTGACAAAACAACTTCTCTCGAGTGAGGTCATTTTCTCTTCAAAGCAGTAATTCATTGAGTCCTCGATTAATATTTTTATGTAGTTCAAGAGAATATCTTAATGAAAATTAAATAAAAATGTAAAATGTTTGAATGGAAATTCCTTAGAATTTACTCCAAATTCCAACCTACAAAAAGCACAGAGGTTGTTTGTCTAAAGTCCACAGATATATATATTTATTAAAAAAAAAAAAAATCATAGACTATCGAGATTAGAGATTAAAAATTGATTTTATGAAGTCATAAAAAAAAGTGTTTAAATGCTTTAAAAATAGATAATTTGTATGAAAATATCACTTTATAAGGCTTTTTAAATTTTTTGAATATTTTTTTTTTGAATTTCAGAGTTCATGAAATTGTTTATTTACTTTTAAATTTACTTGTATATTTTTATGATTTTCAAAGAGTCGCCTACAAATTATGAAACCAAACTTTATATTAAAATACTAAATTTTCTTAACAAAAAAAAAAATTGTGAACAGCTTTCTAAGGACAAAATTTATATAACTTTAGTGTAATATTTCAGAACAAATTTGTATTTCTGGGGGAAATGAAGCTTTTTAAAGAAATAAATACCGTGAACTCATTGAATTTTTGATTTAAAAAATTTTCCAAATGGCCACCATAATGCTTTTATAGTTAAAAAAACTTATGATTCGTTGTTTTATGTATGTATTATAAATTTTTTTTTAGTTTATTTTATATATTATTTTACTTTCATTTATTTTATTTAAAAATTAGCTTTTCATTTTTGTTTCATTTTAATGTCATGTTTCCTGTTATACAGTTTCCATAAAATTTCATTTATTTTCCTCTTTATTCTCTTTCATCAACACTCACTTTATTAACGAATCGTTGCGTTTCAAATAATTTTATGTTATAACGTTGCGTTAAATCCGTTTTTTTGGTTAGCCATTTACGGACGTATTCCATGCGACAATTTCAAGCCAACTAAGCGAAACGTTGCCATAACTATTTCATTTATACTTATATTTAATTTACTTCGTTCCGCAGACGACATATCAGGCGGTACTCGAAAATGACTGACATTCATACTCGCGTCGATATTAAAGCGGCAGCAACAGATAATCGCAGCAACATCAGCATACCAATACAATATCGTATCGTGACAACCATATGCAATGTAAATAAAACTCGTGCACACTCACAAACACTTCACATTCTGGCCATCCATCGAATCTGGCCGAGTCACTTATCAGCGTAGTCGTATGTGCATAAGGGTGGTTGAAAAAAAAGTAAAGTCGAATTTTTAACGCTACCATGATAGTAACTATTTTTATAAGTCCCCAAAAAACCCAAAAAGTGCAATGGGGGACCCATACAAAAATTTTTTTATTAAATAATGGAAAAAAACAATTGGNAAATTTCAAAGTATTTAAGAAAATTTTGATGTCAGGGGAAAAAACCCAAAAATGCAGTTTCACTATTTTTGGTCCCATGGTCCGCAAATATGTACATATATTGTTGGTTTTTTTGGTGTAATATTTACTGTTGCACGTTGAAATGCACGGAAAACTTTGAGCGCTTTTAGCAAACTCTAAATATTTTGTGATTTCAAACAGGCGGATAATTTTGTTTGGTTTAGAACCATCCCAGTGGTGGTAGCATTGAAATTCTGACTTTACTTTTTTTGGACCACCCTGACACACATCTGTACATATATTTGTGTGTATGTAGAAATGTATGTATGTATCTGTTCGGCTCCTTTTATTGCCGATTTTTTATTCTTCTCATGCAGTCATTGTTTTCGTTATTATTCTTTTTTGCTGCCTTTTTGTGGCTTTAAATTTCTCACGAGTTTGTTTTTGTTTAATATTTCTGTAATATAGTTGTTACGATTTCTTTGTTTCAGCTCAAAAGCAATAGCTTATTAACGGTACAGAAGTATGATAAGGTTGAAAAGTTATTATAGAAATACATATATATTTCGCGTGATTACTCGACTAATTGACCGCCGCAATACACTNTTTCAAACAGGCGGATAATTTTGTTTGGTTTAGAACCATCCCAGTGGTGGCAGTATTGAAATTCTGACTTTACTTTTTTTTGAACCACCCTAAATACATATCTATATTTGTGTGTATGTAGAAATGTATGTATGTATCTGTTCGGCTCCTTTTATTGCCGATTTTTTATTCTTCTCATGCAGTGATTGTTTTCGTTATTATTCTTTTTTGCTGCCTTTTTGTGGCTATAAATTTCTCACGAGTTTGTTTTTGTTTAATATTTCTGTAATATATTTGTTACGATTTCTTTCTTTCAGCTCAAAAGCAATAGCTTATTAACGGTACAGAAGTATGATAATGTTGAAAAGTGTATGGTTGCATTAGATGCGTTTCAGTGAAAAAAGTGTTATTATAGAAATACATATTTCGCGTGATTACGCGACTAACTGACCGTGGCAATACACCGGCACATGCGGATAAAGACAGATGTGTGGGAATCATCTTGGTAAGGAAACGCGTACTTCTGTACGTGGTCCATACATTGTACGAGTGGATGGCCTTGCATCCTGCACAGTGGGCTAGGAGACTGAAAATGTGGCCAAACTAACTTAACTATTAAACGTGAAAAAATCAGAAAAGGAAACTATTCTTATGGTATGGCTTATTATCCGGTGGGGTGCAATAAAACCAAATGCAAAAAGGCCATAATGGCTTTATTTCGCTTACCGATTGGAAATAAAACCATAATTTCGATACGGCCGTATTTCCAAATGGAAATGGAAATAAAGCCATTGTGGTTTTATTGCGCTTTTAAAAATTTCTTTTGGAGAACATAAAATCAAGAAGAAAAGTTGTTAGTTTTTATGATATAAAGGTGCCGCCAGCAGTTAACATTGAAAATAATGTTCGGGATTTATTTTCTGCAGATAAAAACAAAGATAATTAGCGTTCCCGGATTCGTAATACTGGGGTTTGAAAATGTGTCTACTTGATACCAATTTTGGTGAAATAATTTCATGATTACCAATGAACATACCCAATAACAACATGCATTTACAACGGATTCCAATCGCTATTTATTTGCATGAATTATGACCTGAAAGGCAGGTTACTCATACGCCGTGTATCGTACGTGTTCATAGAGGCAAAGGCGTTTTCTTGAAAATTTAACAATTAATTACAAAAGGCGCAAAATATCCGCAACATGCATATTATAGATAAGCAGTTCTACTTGTCTGCACTAGAGATGCCAGATCGAAATAAAAAAATCGATTTTTGAATCGATTCGAATGAAAATAAAAATCGATCTACCAACATTGATTCATATATTGATCAAATAACCTCTTTTACTTAATTTTTACAAAGAAACAAAACACGGCGATCTGACTAAACTGTTTTTTTAACTGTAATTTTTAAAGCATACTTACATACATTTTTCATAACGGCATCAATATCCAGATTTGTTCAAAAGCTATCAATTAGCTCACAATTCGTAAATACTTTGAAAAAATAAAAATAAAAATGACAAAAAATGTATGCCAAAGTATGTAGTGGTAAAAACGTTTCTTTTTCGCTTATGTGCTGCATTTTGAACAAAAAAAAATGTACATTTGCAATCTGGAGTTGCGATAGGTCGTTCATACAATTTTGTTCCAATAGCTTCTTTTAAAAACGTAATGCTCAACTGTCATTTGATTCTTAGAGGAAATTCATCATTAACCCTGCTTAAATTTGTTTTTTTTTTTTTTTATTACAAATAAGAAAAAATTGTATAAATAACATCGAAATGAACCACTAGTTTTCAAAGTGTATAATACAATGAAGCTTAAGTATGTATATGTGTATATTATTGTACAATACGGACGTTCTTTAGTTAGATTTTTTTTTGTTTTCGCTAAATCTCTAATACACTTTCTAAAAAAAATTTGCTGCAAAACAGCATACGTACTAAAATTTTTTCCAAAAAGAGTAATTAATGAGTGTAAAA